CCTGCGTTGAGCATCTGCCTCCTGGTGGTCAGTGAGCATCATAGCGATCGGCCATTCTGGTCGTTCCGCAGTAATAGTGGCTTAGGCTTTTATTATATGTTATAGCTACTAGTGACCTGTTGCAGAAATATTCCTGCAAGACTTCCTGCCTGCCATCACCACGTCCGAGGCTGCCACCACCACCACCACCACCACCGTCTCCCAGGCCGCGTGTGCATTGCCACCACCACTGCACACCTCGCCCCGCATGCCCGACCCACTGCAGCTGCTGCTGCCGCCTCTGGGCCCACACGCACTATGCTGGGTGCCCTGCCCCACCCACCTGACTCGCCGTGCTTGCCACTCCTGCTGCCTCCCGCCACCACTGCCTCCGTGGCCACGCGTCGCCTCACCCGGTCCCGCCCACACGGGCTGCAGTGCTTTCCCTCCAGCAGCTGCAGCCGCCTTGCTTTCCACTTCCCCTCCCTCTTCCTTCCCTCCCTCCATGTGTGCAAATTAACCACCATCTTTGTTGGGTTAATTTGCATTCTCAGTCTGATTGGCTGGTGGGCGTGCCTGGTGGGCATGGCTTGTGGGTGTAGTGGAGTGATGGTTAATTTGCATATTACTCTATTAGTAGGTAGGATATCTATACTAATAAAAGGGTAACATGCTAATTACACCATTCAGACTGGACATCCTTCCTGACAAAGCCAGGGCCTGGCCCAGGGGAAGCTGGGTATGGTCCCAGGTGTCTGTGGCTGGCTGGAGGGAGGGAAGCCTGGGTCCCAGGTGCCTGCAACTGGCCCAGGGGAAGCTTGCCGACTGGAGGGAAGCCTGGGTCACAGGTTGCGGGGACTGAGGCTGAGGTGGTTAGGGGTGATCAGGTAGGCAGGTGAGCAGTTAGGGCAACTAGGCAGTCAGGCGAGTGGTTAGGGCCGATTAGGCAGGCAGGCATAGGTGATTAGGGGCAATCAGGCGGACAGGCAAAGGGTTTAGGGGTGACAAGGCAGGCAGGCAAGTGGTTAGGAGCCAGCAGTCCCGAGTTGTGAGAGGGTGCAGGCCAAGCTGAGGGACCTGCCCCCGCATGCATGGATTTCATGCACCGGGCCTCTAGTATATTTAATAACTCTTTATTGTTGAAAATATTACATATATCCCCATTTTTCCTCCATTGAACCCCTTGAGCCTGTCCCTGCCTCCCACCCCAGGCACTTACTGCCCCATTGTCCGTGTCCATGGGCCACACACATATATAAACAAGGTCCTTGGTTGATTACCTCCCACCCATGCACTCCTCCCCCACACCCCCCGGCTCAGGCCTACTCTGAGATCCTGCACTCTCTTCCATGCTTCCATGTCTCTGGATCCATGATGTTTATCAGTTTATTTTCTTACTTAGATTCTACATATGAGTGATATCATATGATACTTATCTCTTTCTGACTGACCTATTTCACTTGGCATGGTACTCTACAGGTGCCTCCATGCTGTCTCAAAGGGTAAGAGATTCTTCTTTTGTCCTGCTGCATAGTATTCCATGGTATAAAAGTACCACAGCTTTTTTGTCCACTCATCTACTGATGGGCACTTGAACTGTTTCCAGATCTTAGCTATAGTAAGTTGTCCATTAGCCATGTTCTTAGTCACATCAAGAACACGGGTTGGTAAAAGTTATGGAGCTGATAGAGCACCGTGAGGGCAGAACCACATCGGTGTCACTGTCTGGGCGGCCTGGAGTGCCTCACACGAGGGGCCCGTTCTCAGGGAATATTTCAGGTGCTGAAGGAAGTTGATGGGGTCATTTGCGGAAACAAAACGTGGAAAGGACACTAAATGGGGCCCAGGAATGAGCACAAAGCTCTAACTTCGGGACTTGGGCTCACAAACCAGCTCCTTGGCAGACCTTTCAGATGATTATAAAGGACTTAGTGGGGAAATTCTGGAATTTACCGCCTTTAAGAATCTCAACAGGAAATGAGGCAACCAGTTAATTTGGGGACCAAGACTCACTTTTCAGGAGATATTTGCGGTGGGTGTCAAGGTGCACAAGGCCACTGAGGACCTGGGAGGTGCGTGCATATGGCTCTTCTCTTCTAGAAGCTCCTAGTGCGATGGGAGATGCAAGTTCATCTCTGCAGATGTCACCTTAGGCTACTTCATTAGTTGGCTGTGGTTGGCCAGTCCCACCCCGGGGAGGGCAGCTTGGCTTCCCCTACTATGTGTCAGGCCAGCCGTGACCTGCAGAGGAGCATTCTGGAGAGATGGCTTCTGGCTGGAGGAGCCAGCTCCCTGTGTGGCTGGGGACCAGCCCCCTGGCTTTGTGATTTTCTGGCTCAGAGGAAGTGCTGCGGTAAAGGGCATCAGAGGCCGGCCGAGCAGCAGGAGCGATGTTCCTTACGGAGAGCTGTCACCTCCAGGGCCGTGCTCCTGTTGAGCTCAAGCACATTCCAAGTAATTAAGTGGATTAGGTTCTCAGGCTGTGGTGAGCATCAGCTTGGACATCCTGGCCCGGAGCGCCTGGCAGGTCCCAGAGCTGGCTTGGCAGCCTGACCAGCATGGTGGGGTGCCCCTGCCCTGGTGCCCACTCTGTGAGGAGCGGACTGATGAGAAAGTACACTCAATATATCTGGAAGGTCTCGTGTATAGGGAGCTAATTACGTTCTTTTAAAATCTAGTTGCCACCAATCACAGCTTCCATGATGCTGTGACTGTCATGGCAACTAAAAGCATATCTGAAAATAACATGTCACCTTCTGTTTTTCCTTTCCTACTGTAATGACACAGGAAAAATGCTTTCGTTTTTAACTTAACATGATAAGTAGAGATGAGTAAAAAAGTTTAGGTGTGTGTGCAGCTCCTGTGGATAAGCAGGTGCCATCGTATATGTGAATTCTTGAGTGTGTGTGTGTGTGTGTGTGTGTGTGTGGTGTATATCAGTGTGTGCAGCTGTGTACAGTTGTGTGACTGTGGAGTGAGTCCTCCTTGTGTGTCTGTCTAGGATAGGGGCTGAGATCACACATAGGCTGTGAATGTTTGAAGACTGATCTGTGAGCATGTGTGTATGTGTACAATACTAATGTGTGTGTGTGTGTGTGTGTGTGTGTGTGTGTGTGTGTGTATTTGAAGACAAGTGCTATTGCATGGGTGTGTTAACCCTGTATTGTTTGGTAAGAAAAGGCTTCTGCCTTCCTTTCCATAGGGTGTCCCAGTGGGAAGTTCCACCTAGTCACAGGAAGTTCCACCTCTTTGGGGGAGGGCCCACCTCCTGTCACGACCCTCAGAAAACCAGAGCTCTCACAGGTCAGGAGCACCCGGACACCGTCTGGCCTGCCCTGACCTGGAGTGTGGGGTTTCCGGTCACGGTGGGAGTGACAAAGCCAGGGTCACTGTGTGCGTCTGTCACTCCCTCGCTGCATTAACTGACACTTGTTGTGTCTGGAGCTGGGCTTCCCTCACTTGACCAGGATGGGACTGACAGATTTACAACCCTGACTTACAACAGTAATGACATTTGCACACACCTCTGCAAGGTGTCATGCTTCCTAAGGTCATCTTCTTAGTCCCGCCTCCGGAGGGTCGGCTTCCTCAGGAGGACACTTCCCAGGCGTGGCAATGCACCTCTGGTCAGACTCAAGGGAATGGAAGCAGAGCAGGGAGCCTCTTCCCAGGATGTGATACGCAGCCTGAGCTCCAGGACGGGGCTGCTTGTGCAGGGAGAGGCCACTGCCCGCTGCAATGTGCGGCTGTCCCCTTTTCGGACGAGGACTCCATCCATGATGCCAAGGCTCATTCTTTTCTTTCTTTCTTTAAAAAAAAGAATATATTTTATTGATTTTTTACAGAGAGGAAGAGAGAAGGATAGAGAGTTAGAAACATCGATGAGAGAGAAACATCAATCAGCTGCCTCCTGCATCTCCTCTACTGGGGATGTGCCTGCAACCAAGGTACATGCCCTTGACGGGAATCAAACCTGGGACCTTTCAGTCAGCAGGGAGATGCTCTATCCACTGAGCTGAACCGGTTTCTGCAAGGCTCATTCTTTTCATCACCAAAATGCTTCTGGTTACATTCTGTACTTTACATCTCTTGATGTAAAGTACAGAATGTAATATTCTATTCTTTGTTTGGTTACTAATTTTTAAACACTCATCCAGAGGGCTAATATTGATCAAATGTGAGTTTAATAAGTGTTTATTGGGCACCAATTATTTTAAGGTTGTCCTTGCCTGGGCCCAGATGACACAGCATGCATGGGAATTACCCTCTGCCTGGAGCTTTTCTCAATGCAGTGTCTCGGGAAGAGTGTTCAGCAGCCAAAGCAGGCACAGGTGAGGGGTGCCTTCAGGTGAGTGGGTTCACAAAGGACCAGTAGGGGTTCACCAGATGTCGGGGAGAGATGGTGACATCCAAGGAATGCAGAGGCTCCCTTCGGGCGGGAAGCAAGTCTGGGCTGGAGACAGAAAGGGACTCTGGTCCGGGGTGCTCTTCGCTTGCTTTGTCTCAGGACGTTGGGATGGCGCTGCCTTGGGATCCTGAGTAGCATCCCAGGCTTAGGAGCTTTGGCAAGAATCTGCTCCGTGAGGCAGCCACCCCGAACTCTGCCCCCAACTTTGTTTCTGTGGCTCTGCTGATGCCCGCGGCAGGGAAACAAATTATGTTGGCAAGGAGCTGGGCTTTCTTGCGAGCTGCAATCGCGTTGGTGGCTGTGGCTCTCTCTGCATCGCTTCTACTACCGCCGTCCCCACGGGAGCGTGAACGGAAAAGTACCTGTAAATAGGAAGGTTGGCTCCAAAGGCACATTACTGTTTCATTGTGTAACACCCTCCGGTGACATGGAGGCCTCATTAATAACTAAACAACTGTCACGACTGTAATTATATTTCTGGCGTCCGGATTGTGTTGCTGCCATTGTCCTGTTTAAACATGGAAGGGAGGGTGTGAATTATTTAGGCAACTGACTGAGTAAAAATGATCAACCAGCACTGTGCAGGCAGTAAGTTTCTGTCAACTCCTTACAGAGCCTCAGTGTCACCGCTGACGTTCGCTTGATGTGCTCACAAAGCTCTCTGAGAACATCGCCCTGGACCCCCGATGCGGCTGCCCGAGCAACCCGGAGAGGGGAAGCCTGAGCATGAGGAAAAGGGGGGAAGAGGAGCCCCTGGAGGGGGAGAGGAGCCGCCGAGGAGCCAGGCCCCCGACTTCCCCACTTGGCAAGTCTTCTCCCCCCAAACCCCCTGGAGAAACGAGCTTTCTCGCGTGTTTGCCCAGGATTGATTGTGTTCTGCCCGCAGGTAGGGGGTGGTGTGGGGCTGGGAGTGTCTGCTGCTGAGTGTGGGGGGAGAGGAGACAGGACATCTGGGAGGGGTCCAGAGGAGGCATATGTCTAAGCTGGGTACAGAGAGGAAGTCCTGAGCCTGACAGGTTCAAGGTGTGTGGTGGGTGAGGGGATGGGTTTGCAAGCTGACGCTCTCGGGTGCCGGTTGGGTTGGGGTGATGCCAGTGGTTAGAAAAGCAGCAACAGATATCATGTAGAGAGTGGGACTGTGTGTCAGCATCAGAGCAGGAGTGTCGCGTAGGTAATTTCCACAAATCCTCATAATAACCCTGCAAGGGTGTCACTAACACCGTTCTTACAGGAGAAAAGTAAGACAGACATTCATCAGCTCACCCCAGATCGCACAGGCAAAGGTAAACCTGTGATTCCTGCCACGGATCTCTGAATCCTAAACCGAGGTTCCTAACCACTGGGAGACCCAGTCCCTCACTTACAGGTGAGGAGGTCAGTTCAGGGGGAGGGGTCTCACGTTACCAAGCCACAGGCTTCCCTGGCTTTGACCTTGCTTTCTTTCTTCTCCCTGGAGACATTCATGGCTGTATAAACTCAAGAGGAATTTCAACTCAGGGTGGTTTTGTATAGAAGGAAATTTTGATCTGTGATGCTGGCATTGAGGAGTTGGTTTGTACTGAGTCCTATAAGCAGTTATGTTTTGAATGGTCTCTTTAAGGCTGTTGGAATGGAATCGCCAGTCCTTTCTGCCACCAACTCCTCATGGTGGCCGAATGTGTCGATGGCGGGGGCCCTGAGTTTAAGTTTAGGCTTAGGAGGGGGAAAAAAGAACTAGAGATGTTTCTGACTGTATTTCCTGATTTTTAGCCATTTCTCCCAGGAGGGGCTGGACCCAGCACAGGAGGCTCTGCATGTCTATTTAGAGCCGTGGTTTGGGAACTCGGAGGTCGGAGCTGGTGAGATCCTTGGCCCAGGGCATGCTGTCCTGTGGGTGAGCCCTTCTCATCTATTCTGAGGAAAGGTCTGGAAGAGAGTGACATAAGCTGGAAAGGACACATGAGCTGCAGGGCAGGCTCAGCGTGAGGTCTGCTCAGCAAGGTTAGACAGGGACCAGAGCAACCTGGGCAGGGCCTCCTCAATCCAGCTCACCCTTTCCAAGAGAGGAGCCTGGTAGGAGGCATGGTCTAGTTCAAGGGTAAAATTCCCAGCTGGCCTTTCCTCAGGCTGGCATAAGTGACAGCATCCTGGGCAATTGTCCTGGGGAAGGGGAGCATGTTAAGGAAAAGAGGTAAGGACTGGAGTGACAGATGTTTCTGCATGTCCCGCACATGGCTGTAACAAATAACAAACATGACAGATGCCACTGAGGGAAGGGACAGGTTTCTACGTTAGTGGAAATGAAGGTATCATACAGTAAACAGACAAAGAAGTCTAACGGAGTTAGATAGACCATTTTTGCTCACTATACTCCCAAATTAAATAAAAAAAAAGTTTTTTTATTTGATCCTGTGACTTTGGGATTTAGAATTTTGGAGCCAGAACTGTGATGGGCATGAATTAGGCAATTTAATTTCATCTATCTTTGGGAGTAGCATTAACCCAATTGGAATGAACCAAACCATCAGCTTCTCCTTGGGGCATTAACTCTTTTTGGACCCAAGGCTGAGGGTCTGTAGGGCCTCTGGCTTATTCTCCTCACACATTCAATCCTCCTCCCCCCATTACACTTTTGCATACTCCTTCCTTGGGAGCATACCCACAAAGATTTCTTGGTGCCATGGGCAGGGAGATACAGGTAAAAAGGAGAAATGGAATGAGGCCATGAGAGAGAGAGCGCCCTGATGTTATGGCCTCAACGCCAGGGATTGGAGAGGAGGGGAAGGAAATACAGCTCATTTGGAGCATGGTCCCACATCAGTTTCCAGCAGTGAAGTCTCTCAGAGCAGCGGTCACCAACCTTTCGGACCTCACGAACCACCAGTGGTTCGCAGACCACCGGTTGGCCACCACTGCTCCAAAGGTTTCCTCAGAGTACATTGCCTCCTTGTCCTTCAGTCCCTTGGCTGGGACCTCCTTCAGCTAAAGCACAGGCTGGGTACTGCGTCAAGCCTACAGAGCATCAGAGGCCCTCAAATCTCAAGCCTTCTGGGCAGTTACCTAGGTGGCTGTGCCTGGCATGGGCAGGGTGGGCAAAATTATAAAGTAAGGAGTCTCCTCAACATGTCCCATCTTCCCACCGGATCATTTTCACATTTCCTTGTACCATTTTGGTCGTAAGTAACAGAAGTCCATAGAGTTCTAAGTGAAAAGAGAGACCTATAAGAAAGACTTTGGGCAGGAGTTCGAAGAGGTGTCTTATAGAATGCAAGGCCTAAAGGCTGGATAACCCATCGGCCTAGAGGGATTTTGAAAACCAAATAAAGCTGCTCCTCTCTACCTGTCCACACTTCTCTGGTTTCTCTGACTATATGAAAATTACTCTTGTCAAAAAGCTCCTAATTTGTCTTCCAGGCTTGGCTCGGAATCACTATTGTCTCAATTCCAAATTCCCCATGAACAGACTCATTGCTGCCTACTCCTGATCAAATCAATAGTATCCAGGATAGGACAGTCAGAGGTTATGAACATGGCTGCTTCCACTATAAATATGTGGATGGATAAGGGGAGAGGCAATGGCTAGAGTGGTGGGGCACTTCTTCACCACAGTTCCTGGAATGTTGGTTTTGTATTCCATTCTGGAAGTTGGTTGACTATCTGATAAGGTGCTTACTGTTAATGCTTTAAATTGCAGCCTTTAAAAGAAGGTGGTCCCTTGCGAGACCCAGAGTATTGTCACTGGTGGAACAAGCACAGTGGGTGGGTAAGCACAGTGGGCCAGGGCCTGTGCCGGGGAGTGTGGAGAGAGACCTTATACAGAGGGCGGGGACTAGAGAAGAAAAACCTACTCCCAGCCTTCCTCCTGCTTGTCAGCTCAGAGGATTGCAGAATCCCCCAGACTGTCTTTTCCTATGTCTTTGCCAAGCTGTGGTCACGTCTGCAGGAGATAACTCATAGATGGGGACCTCTTTCTTTTCTACTTCTTTTTCTTAAGAGTCTCCCAAGTGCATACAACAATGGAGCCCGACTTGTCTCGGCCCTGCCAAAGTGCCTTCTCAAACTGGTGACCTGAAAAGATGGTCTCTCCCTTTTGTCCAGACTATTGGATCTGAGGTGCTCTTTGGGTCAAGTATGGAGTTGATTTGTGGATGGTCAGTAGGCCCAGGAAGCCAGCTTGGAGAGTGTCACCAGGTAATAGAGAGATGCCCAGGTGTCTTCATCAGATTACAATTACAATAAACAACCCTACTAGTATGGTGCTGCTCCAACCCAATCCAAAGGAAGCTTTTCTAATATGGGGCGAAATGGATGTGCACTATTGATATATGAGCTAAGAATAGTTCATGTTCTAAACAAAGTGTTTTTTTAGTATTTTGAAATAAAAACGTGTAGACAAAGCAAAGAATTAAAATGCATGACTCATTGCTGATTCTGAAGGCAATAGAATTTCAAAGGGAATTATTCTCTTCCTATTTCTCCCTCCCACTCCTGTTCTGAATAGCTTATAAAAAGAGTCTCTACATAAACAGGACCCACAAACTTCTCCATGATTTAAGGTTCAGCACAATGAGAGGCAGCAGGAACTCAACCTTTATTGCTTCGTCATTAAGCTGGACTTACCACTAGACTGGAATCATTTATCAGAGTCCTTCATGGCTTGTCCATCCTCATTTCTCCTCCACTTGTCTTCCATTCTTTGGATCCATTGTGGCCACTGCTCCTCCCTTCCCCTGGCTCTGCTAGACCTCAGCAGACTCAACTCATTAGCCTTAACAAGGATGTTTCATCAATAAGCATTATCTCTATGGGCTATGGCTTAGGGGAGAGTGCAAACTGTATGGTATTGTAGCAGGATGCAGGATGTGGGCATCTCCATCAACTCACTGGGTAGTCTCGAGCTCATTTGTATGTTGAATAGAACGGTTTGGCCTTATCAGTGGTGTTTAGTTCTGTGTTTTTAAAATTTTGTTTGTTTTTTTGCTCACAAGCAAAAAATAAGTCTTATGGGGGATCCAATAATTAAAACAGAAAAGTATTCTGGTTGGAGAAAGGTATGGTGTGTGTGTGTGTGTGTGTGTGTGTGAGGGAGAGAGAAAGAGAGAGAGAGAGAGAGAGAGAGAGAGAGAGAGAGAGAGAGAGAGAGAGAGAGGGAGGATGGGAGGTCCTCCAGGACCCCTGAGAAGAACAGCAAGATGTTTCACTTGAAGGAACTATTAGTCGACCGTCATAGCATGATTCCTTAAGAAATGTGAAAGTCTTATCTCTGACCTCTTCTTGCTATCTCCTTTCATTTCCAATCTCATGCTCCTTGAATACTTACCAGCTTGCTCAGTCTTATATCTGCCTCAAGTCTTGATGTCCTATGGAGAAGCTGAGAGGATCATGTGGATGACCAAGCAACATTTTCACCTCATGTTGCCTCAGCTTTAACTCTGTGACTTTCTTTCCTCTTGACTTCCATTCCCACGGCTTCCACCTTGCTCCTATTACTTTCTGGAGTAACCCACCTCTAGTACTAGATTAGTACTCACTGTAGAGTTCAATTGTTAAGAAATTCATGCCCAGGGTGTGCCTAGGAGGCCGCCATTGCTGCTTTGAACACCTCTGAGAGCTCACACTGCAATACTGCGCTCTGTTTGACAACCTTCTCTATAGCTGTTTACCATTGCTAGTCCTATTTTGGGATGAGTAGCATACTGAGAGCAAATCCTATATGAATATGGGACATGGATAGTTGACCCTACGTACTCATAGCCTTCAACTCCAATAGGTCTTTGGTGCTGGCTCAGTAGTTCTTCTAGTGGTCAGGTTCCTCCCCATTCTCTA